GAAGAGTCCAACTGGTTCTCATCAAGCCACAGAAAGTGGGGAGTGGCTACCTGGCAGTTTGCTAGAACAATACCAGAGTAAATAAAAGTAAAAAGCTTTTTTCAAAGATGATTTTAATTAAAAGACCATGCAAACATTTCCCACACAGTTTAGCAGAAGCTTTCAAAGCGACAAGGTCACTGAGAAGAACAACTGAACACAGAGTAGAAAGAAGAGCTTCTTGGGACATTGTATTTACTGCTGAGATGAGTGAACAAACTAAAAAAAGAAACTATAAACAAACACATCGCAGAGTGATTGACGACCAGTCCTTTTTAGTGGCGCCATTTTAATCCAAACACAACTTTTAATCTTAAGTTCATTCATAACATAATTAATAAAACAAACAAATCCTTATATCCTGCATGAATTCACGAAGGCACTGCATAAATAAATAAATAGATCAATGGAGGATTATTTACATGCATAGGAAAATGAGAAAATTGAAGAAACTCCCAAAAAACCCTTACGCTTTATCTTCAACCAGAGTAAAAGAACACATCCTTTCAATTTAGACAAACTTTGACTTTTTTTTTGACATTTTTCACTTTTTGTTTTTTCTATCTCATCCCTTATAGAAAAATGAAATTAAATATGTAGAAAGCTTTCATGGGGGGTGGGGGGAGCTAGAGAGAAATAAATTACATTATTTCTGAGAAGTGCTTATATTTTCCTATATGGTGCAGCATATTTTCAGGATTAACATTTAATGCTCATGGAGGCATTATCTAGCATACAGAGCGACCCCCACAGAAGTGTAATCTCCCACATCCCACATGGTGTTCTCCATCTCTGGCATGGATTATACTGAAACCTCATTGTCTAAATTACATAGACCCACTTAAAACATAATCACACACAGCTCTTTAATTAACTCTGTTAACCTGTTGGATCTCACAGCAGGAGAATTCAGCTGTTCAAAAGTACAAAAAAATTATCTTATTGATTTTTACTTTTGAATAATAGGTTTATCTTAATGAGTCCTCCATTGCAATGGCTCTTAATGGTCAGGATGCTGCACCGAGTCACTTTTAGATAAAAATATGGGACTACACCTATTATACAGTCTATATTTTTGGCTATTTGACAATTAAGCCTAGGTTTTCACAGTGCTTTTTCACATATATGTGTAAATAATGTGGTAAACGTGTTTAAAGACACACTGAAAAATTTCACCCAAACTTTCAGATTATTTACAGATTTATTACATAATAAATTCCAATTTACTTTCTCTTTAGATACGTTTAACACAAACCTTTTCACAAAACTTTCTACAATAAAGCTTATTCATTTGAAATAGATTATCATCAGCTTTATGGATTTACCGGTACTATTAAAGTGTACTTACTTAAAATTAAAATGAGATCATTTATTTCAAATACATAATGTCTATTGTTTGAATTGAATAAAAACGACCCTAATTATTATCTTTTTATTTTTTATTTTTATAAAAAAAATGAGTAGTTGATGATAATGAGATGATAGTTATTGGACACCTTAATTTAACACGTTCATTTGGTCAGATTTCTATCTGTTTTTTCTAGGGCTACCAGCATTTTTTTCCAGGCCTGTTTCATTAGTTTATTTTTTTATTATTCTGTTCAAGCATGACTGAAAAGCAATGTCCGACATTCAATTGTTTATTTTCATAGAATTTTTAAATTTATTACTACTTTGAATAATTTTCAGATTCAAATTATTTCTATGACCATTGCAGGTTTTTCTTTCATTACACGAGGAGTGGTAGCAATTTTTAACCTAAACCCAAAATAGAAATAATTTTTTTGTTATATCATATTCAATTAAAAGTTTTCAGAGGCACACAGAGTGAAGGAGGTGAATAAATGGAGGAGGCTCGGTGTGAATTAATGACAAGGCATGATCTATTTAAAAGTTTAGAGAAAAAAAAAGAAAAAAAAAATTAAAGACTATTACATTAATGTACATTACACTTTGCAATCCCGGACAGAAACAATGAAAACTTTGCTCATGTGTGATTCATTTTCAATGGTGAAACAAAGTTGGAATTGGCTCTCTGTGCAGACAGTATGCGGCTTGAGGCTCCTGAGACTGACCGCCTGTCAGTGCCTTTGACTGAAGATAGTAAACTCAGAGCAATCAATGGTTTCACTTATGGATTAAAAGTTGCTAGATTTGTTTCTAAAAATAAAAGCCGAAAGAGGGGTCTGAAAAGTCGCTAAAGATTTGACAACAGCTTTGAAAGAGAGAAAATGAGGCAACGATGTTAACAGAACCTTAACCCTTCCCATCAGTCCCGGTGGCATGTGTTCTTAAGCCTAAAGTTTATTGGTCTGACCCAGTGGCGGCCGGCCCATAGGGGGCACTGGGGCACCGCCCTCCCTGATAAGAAGAGAGAAACGTAAAATATATTTTTAGAAATGAACTCATAAATGTCAGTTTTACTCTCTAGAGTGTGTACCTATAAGCAAAACAAATTATATAAACTACATTTCCCTATCTACTGTCATTCATTTGTGGATTTCCACAGACAGACTCCTACCGTCTCTGTCTTGGGGCTCTGATCAGACTGCCCCACATTTGCAGAGAATCTGCCAATCATTTACTATTGCTAGGTCAATTTAATAATTTAATAGCCAATCAGTGTCTCAGAATTTTATGGTCTTGGGGCTCTGAAAATACTGCCCTTTAACAGGCTTCTGCACCCAAGCGCAGGTGCAGAAAAATTGGAGGGATGATGGGGAACGTAACGAGCGAGGGCAGCTTCCACCAAATTCGGTGAGATCCTTATTTATCTACCCGTTTGCCAGAAGAACATCCCTGTTGTAGGATATGAAAATTTCATGTCATGGTTATTGTGACTGTGACGAATCCACCTCGTCACTTAAAATAACCTCTGTAACTTTGCGTGCCACACACACATTCCTGCTATACTGTGTTTGTGAGGACCAATACACTCGCGCTGAGCCCAGTAGCTCCATTAACTTAAAACACACAAGCTGTTCCTGGTTACCTGTTGGCGTATTGAGGGTGCACACTTAATATTTCAGTGAGGTTAGCCGTGTGTGTGTGTGTGTGTGTGTGTGTGTACATGATATGCTATGGGGACTTGTCATCTTCAGTCTGGCGGCGTCTTTGCTGGGTTCAAACCCAGTTTGGTGTAATTGAATAAGTCAATGAATCTGTGTAAAGGAATTAAGTTGTAAAAATTATTTGTTTTTGTGTATCAATTGTTTGTGGAGGTAATATATGGACAAAACTGATTTATGAGAAGAAATCAGAAATAAGAGAGCCTGAGGTGAGGGGCTTAATGTCATGATGAGTCTCT